GCTCCCGGCCCCGTCTGTCCTTCTGCCTGCCTGCGCTCTGCTCCCGGCCCCGTCTGTCCTTCTGCCTGCCTGCGCTCTGCTCCCGGCCCCGTCTGCCCTTCTGCCTGCCTGCGCTCTGCTCCCGGCCCCGTCTGCCCTTCTGCCTGCCTGCGCTCTGCTCCCGGCCCCCTCTGTCCTTCTGCCTGCCTGCGCTCTGCTCCCGGCCCCCTCTGTCCTTCTGCCTGCCTGCGCTCTGCTCCCGGCCCCCGTCTGCCCTTCTGCCTGCCTGCGCTCTGCTCCCGGCCCCTGTCTGCCTTTCTGTCCACCTATGCTCTGCTCCCGGCCTCTGGCTGCCCTTCTGCCTGCCTGCCCTCTGCTCCCGGCCCCGTCTGTTCAGTCTTGGGGGCACAGGGAAAGGGAGGGTGAGGGTGTGGGGGTGTTGAGCCTGTCTGTCCAGTACTGGTGCTCAGGGTCCTGGGTGTGGGGGTGTGGTAAAGACTTCAGTGACTTCAATGCTGGTGAAGCCAAGTCTGACGAAGTCTCACCCTGGGGATCCAGACTGGTCTTCATTATGGACCTTCAGCGCTGTAAGTCACTGGGGTTAGTCCTCTGTGCTCAGTCAACAACTTTGGATTATGTTTTAACTGGAAACAAAGTAGGGAGTCAGTTCAGCCCCTCTCAGACAGAATGAAAACCAAGTGCAGACGTGTTGCACTGCTCGTGACGAGCTGGAGTGAGACCTGCAGTCAGCTGTCCACGTGCGTTGTCGTTCTGCAGTACATGTTCAGCGCCCTCCGGGACTGTGTCCCTGCCATGCTGCACGCGAAACACCTGGCCTGCGCCGAGCAGCTGCTGGAGAGCTACGACCACGAGATCATGGACGTCCTCAACGAGGTGAGGGAGTCTGAGTGGAGAGCCTGCAGGCATCGTGACGGAGAGGTGCCGAGGCACCTGGAACTGTGTCCCTTCAAGAGAGTCTGATCTTTCCCTTGACAACAAAGACAAGAAAGAAAACTTACTCAGCTTTGATTCTGATATATAACTCTTATTAACTGTATTTTTTATACTAGTGCGTTTGTCAGTTAGATTCTGGCAGCCCACTGAAGCTCAGCAGGTGTGAACCTCCTGGGAAAGCAAAGGTTGCTGCTGGAAGTTGTATTAGTAGGACACTATACTGTAAAAAGGCACCGTCCTTCAGATTGCACATAAAAACGAGGTTCTGACTCTCTGTGGTCATTAAAAATCCCTGTGCATTTCTCAAAAAGACTAGGGATGTCACTGGTGTCCTGGCCAAATTTCCCCCTGGCCTTTCCCAGTCATGGCCTCCTAATAACCCCCATCTCTGAACTGGCTTCATCACTCTGCTCTCCTCCCCACTGAGAGCTGGTGTGTGGGGAGCGTTCTGGCGCATCATCCAGGTGGGGCTGCACACTGCTGGTGGTGGAGGGACTTTCCTTTATTTGTGGAGTGTCCAAAAAAGCACTGTATAAGTGTTTTAAGTATAAAGAATTGTATTATTATTTTGGTATTTTCATCAGAAATGTAAGTCCCGTTCGTCAGTGTTTTGTTCTTGCGCTGGGTAATATCCCCCCACACTGCAGCGGTGGTACACGCAGACCCGAGTCAGGACGGCCTGGCCTGGGCTGACGGCCTCTGTGTCTGCTGCTGTGTCCTGACAGCACCTGCTGGACAAGCTGTGTAAGGAGATCGAGAAGGACCTGCGCCTGTCGGTCCACACTCACCTCAAGCTGGACGACAGGAACCCCTTCAAGGTGGGGATGCAGGACCTGGCCCACTTCTTCTCTCTCAAGCCCATCCGCTTCTTCAACCACTTCATCGACATCAAAGGTAATCCTACCACTGACCACTGCCCCCTGACCAGTGACCTCACACCTGTCCACTCTCACTCTTGCCCCCTGACCAGTGACCTCACTCCTGTCCACTCTCACTCCTGCCCCCTGACCAGTGACCTCACTCCTGTCCACTCTCACTCCTCCCCCCTGACCAGTGACCTCACTCCTCCCCCCTAACCAGTGACCTCACTCCTCCCCCCTAACCAATGACCTCACTCCTCCCCCCTAACCAATGACCTCACTCCTACCCCCTAACCAGTGACCTCACTCCTGCCCCCTCTCACCAGTGCCCAGTCCCCACAGTCCTGCCCAGTGACTGCACTCCCTGCATTGCCCAGTGACCAGTGACCACATTCCCTGCACTGCCCAGTGACCAGTGACCTCACTCCTGCCCACTCCCTGCACTGCCCAGTGACCAGTGACCACACTCCCTGCA